GCATTGAGGCAGCCTAGGCGCAAGGCAGTCGATGTAGTCTCTATGAGAAAGTAACTCGACTGCGATGGACTTGTAGAATAATTTTGAAACTGGACTGTGTATTGACCGTTTTGTCGTGGTATTTATACAGCGCAAGTGACGTCACATGAGCGTATTTTGGTCGAATAGAGAGCGCGACGCGAGCTACTAGGACGTATCAACAGCGAGCAGAGCGTAGTGTGAGCGCAGTGACAGCGCAGCGGCAGCGACTAGATCGAGTAATTGAGCTTGACAGGGGCGCATAGAGAGCGAATTGAGCGCATCGTAAGCACGGGAAGAGCACAGCATGAGCATAGCTTGAGCTTCTTTTGAGACAGAAAGTTGTCATTTTCTTGCGTCCTCGCTGTGATTGTTAAATTTATGAAATATTTTTAGTCGCCGTAAGGTCTCCTATGAGATCGCATATAATGTGACAGGCCCTTAACTGTTGAAAACTGTCACTTTAGTGGTTGATTTTGACTGAAAGGACTATGTACCGGTACATTTTGGCACAGAATGCATGTTTTCATCTAGGAGGGTTAATATACCGATACATAATGTACGGTACCGGTAGCATTGCAAACATACCTACCGGTACATCTGATTGAATTTTTTATAAATTTTCCTCTCGCTTTTACGTAGGTTGTGTCAGTCCCAAAAATAAACCTACACGTACCGGTACATTTACCTACTAAGTGCAGACCTGTAATAGAAACGTACATGTACATGTGTACATGTGTACATGTCTACATTTGATCATGTATTGTCAAGCAAGTCAAATTAAGGAAAGTCACAACTACATTTACATTGTACTTAACTTTAACACTCGATTCAAATCAAAGTTCCCAGTTGGGTTTGTGTATAAATGAATGTGTACGGTATCACACCAGGTACCAGGTACCGTACATGATACACCATTTATTGGACAATACTTCCGTATACACACATCATAATTGTGCCATATTACTCTGTTTTGTGGCAATGAATGACTCATGCTCATATAAGTTGTCAAAACCAGCCCTCATTGTTATGGAACTCTTCAACTATACCAGTACATGTATGGTAAGTACAATACTTCACCCAAGCGTGAATCAGTTAAAGCAAAAGACTTTGAAGCCGACTGTCAAAGTTAGGTTGCTTTACCTGTCCCCACCCAAGTAGCAGTTGCCAAGTATTCTTTATTGTTTTGTTGTTCACAAAACATAAACCTTGGAAACTCAAAGAGCAATGGCATTGTGTCTCAGTACTGGTAAATGTACAAATACATAGGTGTTCAAGCCTTTGCTTTTGTGCATCGAGTGTAAGTCACACTACAGTAACGGTACTTGTACATTGCAGACATTATGCTTGTTCCACCAAGCAGAAGTCTGCACTATATCAAATATCTGTGAACTCACTTCTTTCTGGAAACTGATGATCTTTGCAAGGTACTGGTACAATACATACGGTAAACGGTGGTATGAATTTTATGTATTTGTGGTGTATGTCCTTGGACCATGGAGCTACATGTATGAAAGATGATGAAAAATGCGTATATTTTGTACATGGCGAGGAAGCAAAAAAAACAAAAGACCACATGAACACTGTTTTTCAGTGATGAGTTTGGGAGAGTAATAAAGGAATAAAGAGAACAATTTGTTGTGATACTGTGGAATCTTGAAACGTGAGTCATACCAAATACCTGAACAGTTCAGATGGTAACAAAAGTCAAAAGACAGGGTTCTTTTCAGTCCTGTGTGAAAATGTAGCCAATAACAGGTCGACTCTACCAGTTTGATTGATGCTCATGACTCATTGCCATCAAAAGCGATTGTCAATCATGACAATGTCCCAGAAATGTAGGAGAAGGACACATCTGTAGTACGGTAGAATGAATTACAGAATGATGCAAGTGCGGGTAAAATGTATTAAGTGCTGCGCAGGTCACCTCTGAAGTAAGAAATTGTTAGGCTACATCAAAAACATTAAGGCAATTTGGATAGTTGGCAGGGGTTGGGGATGTGGAATGGATGGTTCATGAACGTGCGTGAACAATGTACAAAATGTACTGTATGTGTATAATACACAATTGTACATTGGTACAAAAAGCAGCACCAAGCCTTACATGTAAATTTGATAGTTTGCATGCTTTTTGAGTTTTATACATTGTACATACAGTGTACATGTTATTTTGACTTGTTAACAATAGGGTGCTATTTAGAATTGGAGGTTGAAATGGCTGACATACATGTACATGTGCATAGTAATATCATAGTATTAAGGGCTCCGTGCGCCAACAAAAGAGGGCATGTTTTTACCACTTCTGATGGCCCCTTGGACGGGACACTGCGTGTGCGCACTGTAGTGGTTCACACGCAAAGTACCGTACGCATGACTTTTATATCCTGAATGTGCACAAAGCCAAGCCACAGCGTCTTTGCGCATGAGGATCAGGCGTCGTCGGTACGTGAATACATTCGAATATGTTCGAATTTAACTTGCGATGTCTCCAGACTAATCCCCGCCCCCAATAACTTTGGATCATTCGAAATACGCAGTGGATGGATCGGGAACCAGTCTAGGTCTCCCCAACTCTCCTTTTCTGGCCGTTGAAGGGGTACTTGTGCACGAAGCCCATACATTGTATGCTTTGAGTTGCGCACTGCATACGGTACTTGTTCAAGCAAAGACGATTGACTATGCACAGAATTTACAGTGTACCAATTGCAGAATTACGCATGTGTATGTTTGAACATTTACGTACATTTAATGTGAATGAACTGGTATGACAAGTTCAAGCTGCAGAGCAGGTCTATTAATTTTGCCCTTGTTTTTTTTTCATGAACTGAACATGAATGCATTTGGCATGTACACGTACTAGTACGTGTACATGTGTACAAGGTGAGACATAGCAGCTGCAACTTTAGTTCAGCAGATATTCGTTCTCTTGGGGGTGTGGTTTCCTTTAAGGTTACGGCAAGTCCTGCGATTCTCTGGGTCTGGGTAAATGGTGCAATGGATCGTTATCAATGCGATAATGGCGTGGAAAATTTAATAAGGACAGGCCCCGGCCTGGGCATCACCGCAGTTAATTTGTATAATTGCCAATCTACGCATTTGATCGGCGGTTTATTTTGCTTGAGTCAACACATTTACTGAGGGTGGGCAGGGAGGGGGTGGAGAGGGAAGAGTAAAACAATTTTTTTTTGGGGGGGGGAAGGGGGGTAATCTCGAATCCCAATAAAACTTTATAATTGCATCCATTCAGAGACTATTTCAGTTGGGCAATTTAATTTGTCCAAATGTTTCTGGCAGTAACTGAATTTTTCTTTGATGGTTTTACAAAAAACAAGCTCTAGAGAGTGAGAAAAAAGTTCATTTTTTTTCACTGTGAAATTTATACAACATGTGTGCTCATGTGTGCAGACAAAAATGTTTTCGTTCATGCACATTAGACATGTATTACAATGTACATTGTTATGATGTTTACAGTGCATGTGCATACAGCATAATTTATTCAATGCATTTAGTTTACAACTTCAAATGCATGAGAATACATATATTGAGAAGCCAAAGGAGCGGTACCGTTATAACGCATTACATGTACACATGCATGTTCAGGAAAAGTCATCTGATCTTGGTAGAATTCCATTGATTAATGCCACATTCCTACATGTGTAGGCCCTATTAACTGGGGATCACATTGCTCTAGCTCTTAATGTTCTTTGTCTTGACTGTCTATGCCACAGTCTACGGTATCATCAGTGGATATTTCGTCTGGGCCAGCAACCCCACACATACAAACACATGAAGTACGGCAGATAGGTGATGGGATTGTACCTTAAAGGGAAGATACAACATTTGCAAACATCACAAAACCAATTGATCCAATTATCATGAAATACCTTACTGAATTGTTAGGGAATGACAGTCTAAAACATTCTGTAAAATCGTGGCTCCTAGTGTGCTGTCATTTTCAAGAAAAATCGAATTTTTCCAACGCTGGTCGGCTGACCAGCGTTGGAGAAAACTGGCTTTTTTTAAAAAGTGCTTCTAATTTTTCATTATTAGTTATTCCGCGTTTTCTTTGCAATTGATCACACGTCTGTGAAGGGGTACAAGCCTGCTAGACTGATTCTCTGACCTTACAATTCCGCAAAGGTTATACATTGCTCTGTTTCATCTTAAGTGGGGTCAGGGAACCAGACTACAAGAACATGATTGGTTTTCTTGGTTTTTCCAGCATCTACAAGCCCAAATCGTGAAACAAGTCATTTTAACAATATTTGCTATAACATACTAATCCTCCAAATCCATTTATTTCTGAAACTTGCAGCAAAAGCAAATGTTGTACATTCCCTTAAAGTTAAAGTACATGTAGATGATACAAGCATGGAATTTGGCACACAGTCAGAGTATGTCATGAGAAAGATATTTTGCTATAGGGCCATTGCAGGTTTGTCCTTTGAATAATATCTATAGGTAGAATAACAAACAATGGCAGCCATTTTGAAAATTTTGAAAAATACTTATGCCTTTAAGCCATCACCGTCGATCACTGAGTATGTTGGTATGCATGTGTGATAATCAGCATTCCAGAAGAGTGGAATATCATGCATGAAAATGCGTATTGTCACCTTTAGAAAAAAGCTTGAATAAGAAGGATGTGTCATTCCTAAAGCGTTGCCAAGCAGATGTCCTCTCTGGGGACTGGTTCATTTACGTCATCTGCATGGCATGTGTGTCAGTATCGACCCTATCAAAATATATTTTTAAAAATGTTTGCAGTAACCAGCTGACAAATTGCATAATGGTGTCCTTTTATGTTGTTGATTTACAATGCATATATGGACATTTTTGTCTTGAAACATATGTGTGGTTCTACTGTACAATGTGATCTATGAAAAGTCTGAGCTTATTGCCTTGAAATTGTGTCCACTGTCGGCACACTTTGATTGGAAAAAAAATTGACTAAAATGGAATTTTGTATCACTTTATTGCAGGTCAGCAGTTTGAGTGAAGAAACTTTCCAAAGAGGTACCTATATGCGATATCAAGTCTAGAGTTGAAGCAGAATGTCTTCAAAGAGATTCCCATTTTCAAAGGATGCTAGGATGATGTGAAGTGTTTTCAGCTGCCACCATCAACACCACAGCTGCCAGGGACACCAAGGAGCCTCAATGGGAAAGTGCTTCTCCAGCTGTACCCAGAACAGTGGCTCAGACAGTCATGGCAAGACCAAGTCAGGCCTGCCGTTCCCGGACAAGAGTGCCACCTTGACGGCTAGAACCTCCTTGCCTGACACCGAAAGTGCCCCGCCCCTTGTGCCCAAACGTGAACCCATCGTTGCATCCACCAACACCAACACCACCACCCCCCCTGCACCCACAACTCACCACCTCACCATGGAGCAGCAGCCGTTGCGCATCTCAAATGGATCACACCGATACTCGGAAAGGTCAAAGGGGATGGCCACCCGCAATGGACTGGATGGAGTGACTCGCCAGTCCAAGTCGGACTATTCTGAGAGCAAAGTGAACCGGTTGTTTGAGCGGTACCGGGACAGTACAGAGGATGCCATCCTTGCTGATGGCATGGAGCGATTCTGTCTGGATCTGCAGGTCAATCCGGCTGAATTCATCGTTCTAGTCCTTGCCTGGAAGTTTCAAGCCTCCGCAATGTGCCGCTTCACCCGGACTGAGTTTGTGAATGGCTGCCGTGCGCTCCGGGCGGACTCTCTCAAAGGCATCATGAACAAGTTCTCAGACCTCAGGAAAGAGGTGAAAAATGAAGCCACCTTCAAGGACCTTTACCGCTTCACCTTCAACTTTGGGCTGGACGTGGAAGGCGGACAGCGTTCCCTCCCGTGCGACATGGCTGTGCCTCTATGGAAGCTTGTCTTCTCACAGCGGCAGGTGACAATCCTTGATCGCTGGTGTGACTTCCTGTTGGATCAGCAGGTGCGCGGCATATCTCGGGACACTTGGCAGATGTTCCTGAACTTTACCGAGGTCATCGGCGATGACCTGAGCAACTATGATGACAACGAGGCGTGGCCAAGCCTCTTTGATGACTTTGTTGAGTACGAGAACGAAAGACAGGCCCGTAAACAGCAGGAAAAGCAAAGGACAGAGAATGTAGATGATGGTTATGATGACAGCGAAGGAGTAATGGTGTGAAAACTAACCAGCAGGCACCTTTCAGATGAGGAGTTTTTGATCAATGTTGTGATTATCTTCTCTACAGGTATAACTAGTGGCTTGGGCAGTACTTTCTGCTTGCATACATGTGCAGGTTTCTTAACCATTCAGGTGTCGGCATTAGTAAGCAAGAGGTTGTAGAGTTTCAACTCCCGCTACAATGGTGCCATTCTAGTAAGAAACACCATAAAGGGAAAACCTTGTCTCGTTGTGTAAACCACTTGTAAAATAAGAATATTAATTTATAGCATCAAAGTTTTTACCGTACATTGGTATAACATGTATCTATAATTGTCTGAGTAAATATTTGGAAGTGGTATGGGTTTTTTTCCCCACTCACAACATAGCGACTCAGCAAGCCTTTTTATTTTAGTAGCAAGGCAATTAGTTTTGTACAAAGGCATTAACATCTCAATGGAGAGTGATTGAAACTATGTTATGTTTACTTACTTTAGCAAATGTAGCAAATGCTACTAAAAGACCTTGGGTGTGTTCGGTAATATTGCAGGTTCCTCTTGACTCAGATGTAGGCAGATCTGAAAGTACTGGTACCGGTAGCCATAGAATAGCAAAGGACATCAGTTTTGGACAAAGCCTACATACATGTACACGTACATAAAGATGTACCGTAAGTCGTGTTAACCCTAACACTAACAGTAGTGGTGGGAGAAGTCAGAGATTTCAAAATCGGTGTTCCTCATTTTTTCAAACCGAATAACGTAAGTCATGTAACGTAAAGTAATAATGTAAGTCATGCCCACAAAAGTGACGAGTAAGGCGCTGCACACAATACCCTCCACAATGATTGGGTATGTACGGTAGTTTGCAGGATTCAATGACCACTGGGCCTTTACAATGAGAAAGCATGGAGCAAATTGGGGGGTATATTCTAGGGTCGTTTTGTTTAGCTTGTGTCACAAAACAGAAGCTTCGAATATATCCAGTCTCCAACATCCAAACGGAAAAGTGGAAGTCAAACTGAATTTCAAAATATCCGCATTTCAATGCCACCCAAAACTGCCATCCAAACCAGGGTTTTAAAGAAACGCAACTTGCAATGCACGACAGCTCATAATGCAATCCGAGTTGGGGTATTTCTGGTCAGCAGATGGCAGCAGACAAACTCAGTGCTGACAGTGCATGAGCACGTATAGTTGCACAGAGACTGTCTGTTGATTGAGCGAAAGCATTGTATGACCATGGAGCCATGGTATGACCATCCCAATATCTGCCATTAGAGTTTCTATGCATTTGGAACATTTACAATGTTATCCTAAACATTTGAAAGTTTGTGAGCAGTTGCCCTTGTTCAATTGAAGATGCTGTCTTGAGAATGTCCAAAGTCACTATTAAAGTGGTCTTGAATACATGAATTTTTGCGTCACACATAATATACAATGTACCTGTATATCCTTTTGCTGTTATTTTCAGAAATGGACGGAGTTAGGGGGTACATGTAAGTATTTTATTGCAAATATCGTTCCTCTGACCTGTTTAAACTTTTTGGTTAATGGATGCCAGAAAAAAAAGAAGGCTGTTCGTGTAGTCTGGTTCCCTGAGCCGACAAGCTGTAAAATGCAACATTTTATGGTCAGGTGAGGGAACCAGACTACATGTACGTAGCTGGCTTGCGCCCATTCACAGATTTGTAACCTATTGCAAACAAAATGTGGAATTACTAAATTAAGTCAATTGTGGGCAGTACTTGGAGAAAAAAAAACATGTTTTTTCCAAAGGATGGTTCGGCCGAACCAGTTGTTGGAAAATGATACAAAATTCCACTTTTCTTGAAAATCACAGCATACCACGCACAAAGATTTCACAGGATGCTTGAGACAATTAGTTACTTACAAGTTACAGTCAAGTAAGGTATTTCATAATAATTTGGTAGTTTCGTTTGTCAATTGATGTTGTACATTGCCTTTAATGCAGCACCCTATTGGTAGCTGTACATGTACATGTACATGTACATGCCTAGGTGTTTAAATTACCACAGGTTGACTCCTACATGTACATCATTGGTCCATTGGACTTTAGACTATGGAAGCCTATGGAAGCAGCTGCAGCCACTTCTCATAGACCCGTGTGTTATATCCAGCCATAGCCAAGTCATCTGGATGCGGCGTCACAGGTATCAGATTTTAAGTGGTTATCTGCAATAAGCCGGAGATTCGAACGCATTATTGTCAGCGCTTGACGCTCATTCAGAGATGCAACTGGTTTATGTGACACTCGGAATAAAATCAGTCGTGCGTACATGTACTTTGAAAGTGGTAAAAATGCGACATCTATTGTTTATGCACGGAGCCCATAATTATGGCTGTGTTCAATTTATGGCTACAGCTGCCTTTAGGTGTATACGGTACATGTACATGTACCGGTATATATGTATTTGTAGTTTGTGTACATGCGTCCATGGGAAGTGGATTGAGCAGCGTCCATACCTTTGCATGTGTTATTGCTAGCCATAGTCATGTACGTAATTTGGACCCTGCTGCCTACATGTACATGTAATGGCAAAGGAAACAAGGGAACGGAGGATCCATGGTTTACTTGCTGAAAAAAAAGATATACATGTGTACATGAACACTTGTCTCTTTGCCAACATATTTCATTGGTACAGGTGTACATTTTCCCCGCTGACCAGTATTCAATACATGCGGCTGTCAAAACCATTGAGCTAGCTCTATGCTAAAACTGAGCAGTGATTTGGCCGACAAGACCTTGAATTACTGTCAAGAAAATATCCAGGGTGAACAGGGACAGTCCTGCATGTGGCCTAGTTAACGGCAATTATAAACCAATTTGCCTGTTTCTCAGATACAGTTGGAGGAGGCTGTGGTATGAATTCAAGGTTTGAATAACTGTGCTGGTCTCGTGGTTACAGCCATGTTGCAGTAAGACAGTCGGTTGATTTTCCAACATCAGTTAATGGAAAATTATTTTGTCATTTGGCATGTCTGAAAATTTAGTACGGTAGATGAAATGATTGGCCTGCAGTTCATTCTGTTCCTAAAGTTCTTAATATCTAGTGAACAGTTGCCACATTTGTCATCCTTGTAGACTTTTAAAAAAAAAGCATTACAGAAAGAAAATACGAATTAGCAAGTGTCATACATGTACATGTATATCATAAATCTTATTAAGCAAAGTGCTACAAAATGGTTTGTGTGCTTTGAAGCAATCAGTTTGGCCAAACGCAGTGCAAAAGGTAACAAAGTTCTTATTGGTTGGCCGTCTGGTTAAAATGCACAACCTACATGTAGTAGATGTGAAGTAAATGTAATTTGAACTGTTTGTCATGAAAAATATCCACTTTGATCACAGTGCCTTCCACTTTTACACTTCGTTATTTTAGAAGGTTTTTTGCCGTTATGAATATGAAGTACATGTATGTGTACACTGTACACGAAAAGAACTAAATACAGCGATTAACACGATAACATACTGTTAGCATAATGCATTGTAAAGGCCCCCCCCCCCTCCCCAATTAACATTTAGAATCCAAGTCGCAAATTTATAAACTAGCAAAGTTGTATACAAAATGCATTCATGAATATTTTTTTAACTGATGTTCTTTGGGACGTGCTGCTACATTTATGTACAGTGTTGGACTAACATATTTTAAAAGTATGATTAAAGGCTGTAATTGTAGGCTTATTCTTGGGGGGAAAAAGATGCAACTGTCCTTTAGAAAGAGAAGCTTGGAGGCACCAAAGATGTGATATCCTCACTTGGCTAATTTATGGCCTCTAGTACATCCGAGCTCGTGTTTGTGGCTTGTAAAATTAGAGCTGTATATTCAGTGTTTGTAGTGATAACATGCAAATATGGCTTGTGTCTGGGGATTTAAATCTAGTGGACTTTTTTTTTTGTACTAGCCACAATATTTGAATTTAATACTAGTCAGTACAGCAGTGCCAAAATAACTTTCTATAGGGTCTATTTTTAGCATGTGGCCTGTAAAACAAAGGCCACAATAGAGGTGAGATAAATCTGGCCACTAAATAAAACTGGCAATACCGGTTTCTGGTCTGGTATAAAAACTAGTGAACGCAGTGTTAAAGCCATGTTGTTAAAGGCCATTCAAAACAAAAAAATGAAAGGATGACGCAACATGGCCTGCTTCGTGTTATGATTCACTTCTGTGCAATTAGTGAAATGCAAAGTAAATTTGTAAGGGGCATTTTCTGTATACTCTTTTGTGTTGCATTTTTCTTGAAGGATAGCGCCATGTGTCCATTAGTCTCGTTTGTACTATAGAGTTACTTTTAGAACATGTACCTAGATGTCGTAGGTATCGTAATTATGACGAATCAACAAAACAGGGTGACTCACTTCCTCTGTAAAAAAAAAAATCCAAGCCAAAACAAATTGTTCCTGTGGCAGCATCTTGAAATTATTTTTGATAAAAAAAGACAACAGAAATTGAGGTGCTTGTCTCTTATTCTGAAGCGTGGAAATGTTTACAGCGAAGTGGAAAAGAAATTGTGCTGTATTTGGTTTTAAAAAAAAAATGTTGTTTATGGTTGGAGGTATACTTTGGTAAATGCTACTGTTTTGTATGGTAACAACATGCTAAAGAATAAATGATTGCAGATTATGTAAATCATGGTTGTTAACTGGTTGTTATTTGGAGATAAATGTTTTGGTGGTCCCAGAAGGCCAGGTAGTGTTTTTTTAGTACTTGTTTCACTGACTGACTCCCCGACTCCCTAACTGACTGACTGACTCCCCTTGCAGAATTCAAGGTTAATTATTTTGGTGTCACTTGTAGGCGACGATAAGCAGTGCAATATAAACAAATTTTTAAGGCACTTTACAAATTATACAAGGCAGTCCAAATAACATTTGAGCTCATTGGGAATGATTTCACTTACATTATACATGTACATGTACATTGTACATCAAAAAGCAAGACAAATTGAAGAGTGACGTTTAAAGGGAAGATACAACATTTGCTTCTGGTGTAATTTTCAGAAATGGACGGATCTGAGGGGTTAGTATTTCGTAGCAAATATTGTTACACTGACTTGTTTGAAGTTTTGTGTTTGTAGATGCTGAAAAAAACAAGCAAAACAATCCTGTTCTTGAAGTCATGAAATGGAGCAATTTATAGACGTCGAGGGAACACGTCTAGCTGGTTTGTACCCGTCCATAGGCTTGTAATTGATTGCAAACAAAATGCGGACTAACTAAATATGGTAAATGGGATGCATTATTTGAAGGAAAAAAGCCAGCGTTGGAAATTGATACAAAAATACCACTTTTCTTGAAAATGTCGGCACATCAGGTGCCATGATTTTACAGGATGCTTTCGACTGTCATTCACTTACAGTCCAGTAAGGTATTTCGTAATAATTTCGTAGTTTTGCTTTCTTTCTTTTTGCAAATGTTGTATATTCCCTTTAAGATAAACATGTCCATTAGTCACATTATTGTCACTGTTGGCAGTTTGCAACTGCTAACGTCGATGAACCTATGATTTTTTTTCACAACTGGCAACTTAAACCAAGCCAATCCATGACAGATATGGATTTGATTAATTTCAGTCTCTGTAAAACTGAATTTAACTGAATTTCACCCTCTGTGAACAAGTGACATCTTCGCGGTTTATGACAAAGACAACGCCGGGTCTTGAAGATTTTCCTGCACATTGCCATTGGGGGCTCCCGCAGGAAATCAGCAAATTTGATCAAAATTAAACGCAGCCGGGAGAAAAGTTGAGTGTAAGGATATCCCAGCTCCCTTGTGGAAAGGTGGGATGGGAGGAACAACTTTGACAAGATTTGTTCAGCTCTGGGAAGTAGAACAGGAAACATTGATGACATTTTTTACCAGGTGACATGCATTGACAAGGGGGTGATATGACAAAACCTAAAGGGCAGACCACTGGATCTTGCAACATTTTTAAAGCTTTACTTTAGTGTACTGAAAGGAAATTTGCAAGCAAATCTCCAATGTGTTTGTGGCACTACAATGTAGTGAAGGAAAAAGTCAATGAAATTTTCTTTTCACCATCCACTTGAGAAAAATAATAGCTACATTGAAAAGTTTGAGTCAATTAATAACATCTCAAGAATATTTTAACAAGTCATGTGGACAGTGAATGTTCATGATCATTTCTCTTCAGAACATATATGGTTGCAGAACATATAGTTGCAGACCAGTAAATATACTGCCATAAACCCCAGTGATAAATACCCTTGCTTCCAAAAATCAGGGAAAAATGACAACTCTCCTCACATCATCTTAAAGCTTATTTCATCATCTTTCATTTTCTGTTCCAATTTCTTTGGGGGTAATCGGATGACTTTTGGGAGAAATTTCAATCCAAAATGATCACCCTAAAGGTAGTCCTGAAGCCCATCACCATTTTGAAAAATGGTGCCTATGTACCCCATTACAAAAAAGAGCAATTTTAGGGCCCAATTTCTTCCAAATTTCACAAAAATACAAGCTCTCAGTCCGATCCTGTTCACGGCTTTCACCTTTCTTTTTTTATTTACTCAAGTTCATGTCCCACAAAATGCTCTAATAGCAGAGAATTTGAGGGCCCATTTACTGGCCTGCAAGTAGGTGTGCTTTTGACTTTGATTTTTATTACCCATGTTGGTTGTGCCTGTAATCCTTGATTGGCCATTTTTAGTGTGTAGGCCCTACATGGGAAACACCCTGCCAGCAGACGCCCTAAACCCCCACTTTATGTCCCTCTACAGGAACAAGCTGTCAGTCAAAATTATGCCATGTTTCCCAAAATGCATATTAGCAATCTTTACTTGGCAACAGTCCACTGTCTATTCCAGGAAAATGACAAGAAGTGATGGCTAAAGCTTATGATTGTGCCAGGTTTTGGGTGAATCAGAGAGAGACATTACGTCAAGCAAACCACAGGCAATTATAAGCTAGACTTTCTGAACCATTAATACCTAACCCTACAATAAAAGGTTGTAATTAACATTGACTGGTATCTAAATTTAGTTATATCAGAGAATTCACAAAAGATCTCTTATTAAAAAAAATAATCTTTTTTTTTTCTGCTACCCGAAAGACCAAAGTTTACTCTTCATTTTAATTTTTAAATCAATTTTTAATGTTCAGCGAACCCTTGTGTGCATTTGTGAGAAATCAATTTAATTTTTAACAGTCCCCATGCACGTGAAGCTTATTTTAATTGTTTTTCCCTGCTGACTGCAGAGGGGAAAATTGCAATTTGTTTCTAAGCCAGTGAGTTCATTATTAAGGCTCAGTCGCAAAGCCAATTTGCAGAGAGTCCTATTCTTTTTGAAACTCAACTGCTGTATTTTGAGGTCAACGGCTGCCAGGGCAACTAGCCAGTCTGCTGACGACAATCACAAATCTGGCATAGTTAATGAGATGCTAAGGACTTGAAAAAATAAATTATAAACATAGAAATAATAAAAAAAATTACAATAAATACTTAATGAAGAGCTGAAGCCATCAAACTTTCAGAAGCTGTGCCATCAAAACCAAAAACTGAAATTAATCAAAACAAAACAAAAACAAAACAAAAAGTTAGTTCGAAACTCATAAATCTACCTTAATTTACAAAAAGGAAAGTGAATGTACAACAATTAACGATAAAAAAGGTCAAAGGGAAAACTGATTACATCCCAAATTAATTTTTAAAAAGGTTCATTAATCTTGAGCTTGTGATGTGTTGATATATACACAAATTTGCAATATTCTTAAAGGGAATGTACATCATTGGCTTTTGCTTTAATTTTCAGAAATGAACTATTTGAGGGGTTAGTATAATAGATCAAATTATTGTTGCACTGACATGTTTGAAGTTTTGTGTTCGGAAATGCTGGAAAAACCAAAAAAAACCCAAAAATGTTCAAGTAGTCTGGTTCCCTGACTCCACTGAAAATTAAATGGATCAATTTATAGATGCCGGAAAATTGTACGGTAAGGGAACCAGTCTAGCTGGCCTGCCCCCATTCATGAACATGCAACCAATAGGAAACAAAATTTGGACTGAAGAAAAAATGATAAATTTTGAGCAGTAGTTGAAAAATAAATTTTCCAACGGTGGTCGGCCGACCACCGTTGGAAATGTATACAAAAATACCATTTACTTGAAAATGACTTCACACCAGGTGCCATAATTTTACAGGATGCTTTAGACTGTCATTTACCAACATCCTGTAAGGTATTTCGTAAAAACTTGGTAGTTTTATTTTTCGATGCTTGCAAATGTTGTAATTTCCCTTTAACACATATTATGTGATATGCTTTTATCCTCAAGCCCGATTTTCATTTTCTGCAAACAATGCTGAAAATCTGAATTATTCATTCCGGTTAAAATAAAATAATTTCATTATGAAATAATTTCATTATTTTTTAAATTAGGCCCTATTGCTAGGAAACAAGGAAAGGGCACACGATATATCTAGATGATCCTGAATGCAAGTTGACCCTAAAAAAAAATTTCTATACACATACCATTCAATGATCTGAGAGTGACTTTTTGTGTTGTATAAGGCCTATCCTTACAAAATATATCTTTTCAACTTTCCAAAAATTTTTCCAATTTTTGACACATTCTAATAACAATGCAGGTCTCTCCTTTTGTCATTTGACTGAAATTATTACTTACAATAATTATCATTATCTCAAACTAAGACACAAAAAACATTGCAAACAGCATGTCCATAATTAATGGACAATTTGCATTGGTATAGGATCAACTCAATTGAGCAATATTAGGTTTCTGTTCCCATTGTATCATTTGATAGGATTTCTGGTGAATTTCTGGGACATGATTTGAATGTCTCAAATTCTGACAGTTCTACTGAATAAAAATCACTTGGGCAGCGCAGCACAACACTAGTTATTGGAAATTGAACACAAGAGGGCGCTCTTACAATGGCCTGTTAAAGTGGGTGCCTGTGATTGATAATGTTTAAAGCCTATCTTTTTGTTGTTTTTGGTGTTGAGATATGGCTTTTTTTGTCTGAATGTGGGTTCTTTAAAAGCAAGTAACATTGCTGTTACCAATACAGAAAACAGTATTATCTAATGATAGCTGTATTTTTAACATTATTGTATTTGTAATCTATGCATGGCATTGGCAAGTTTTTTTTTTCTTCTGAATGTGGGTTCTTATCAAATTAAGCAAGTCACATCATTGCTGTTTTACAATACAGAAAAATAAATGCACTGTGCACTTAAACATGTGTGCAATCTGAAGTGTAAACAGTATAAATTATATAAATATTCTATCAACATATATTGGCATATAACTTGACAAATCTTAAAACTGAACTGTCACCATCTCCCCTCCCTCCCACCCCCCCCCCCCCCCTAAAGTTCCAAACTTGGAAGTAGACTTACCTGGCTTTTGGGTGGGAGACCAACAAAGATATTTTTCCAGGACCGCTAGATACCTCTTTAATCTGGAGCCTTGTTTCAATTCCTATGTTTTGTGAGACATGTATAATTCAAGTGTAATTATTATTACACTGTAATGCAGCTCATAAAAGCTTAATACACGTAGATAACATTTCTGTTTTCATTCCTTTACATGAGCTTTCATTAATGGCACACTTCAAATTATTAAATGAACTCAAAAAGCTTGAGACGATGAAAAGTCTCCCTTCACTTTATCAAAAATCAGGAACTTTGCAAAGAAATGTTTATATCAACGTATACTTGACGTAACATCCGTTAACATGGGTTAATCAACTATACGTTAAAAAGTCATAAGTACCCCCTGTATTTTGCGCCAGAAGCTCAAATAACAGTCCCCCAAACAGTCACCCATTGATTAATTAGCAAACATTGTTCAATTGGCCAGGTAAAGTCAACATTACATTAACGTACAGTTGATTGACCGTTGGTTAACATGTGCTGTCATCAACTACACGTTGAAAAATTAGTGAGCATCCCCCCTATTTGGGGATATTGAAATTTTGATCAGGGGTGTATACCCAACCAGTCTATGGTAATTTCAGGTTGTCCCCACTGCTGTTGCAAAAAAATCTGAAATTTAGCATATTAATGGCACATGCCCTATGGCCTACTTGATTCCCGTCCAGTACTCACTATAATAGTGCTTGGGGTAATGACACGACACTCCAGGGAGAACCGTCTAAGGGCCTTCAAGTTTGAGCCTTGTATTCAAAATGGATAAACCATCCATTAATTTTTCTAAAGCTATTCACCTTATTATGAACAGACAGCTTTTGGTGTAATTTGGCTCAGATTATATTGTCAGCTATTGAAATGACTGCCAATTTTGACACATTTCAACAAATTTGAGACGGTTTCTACTATTCTCACTTGTTTTCTTGTAATGACCAATTTTTTACTTCATGGGTTTCAGTACAACTGAACTTTCTTTAATTATGTAGAAGTTCCTCAAGCACGAAGGTCCTAAGCTGTGAATTCTTTAGACACGTCCCTGCTAACAATGTGTGCACTAATGCACTTTCCGCTTGTTTAAGCATAAATTTAAAGCCCTTTGGCTTAGTAGCTCAGTATTAAAGATCATTGATACTTCTCAGTTCTCACTGGGTTGCTGGTTTTTTTTAAATATTTATTAAAATATTTATGTTAATTCGTTGAATCTCTACTTGACAAATGTTTTTGCTATTTTGGGGGATCCCCATCCCCATTACCCTTCTTTAAGTAATTATGGTGATATCAAGTTAACCCTCCTATGGCAAAACATACATTCTGTGCCAAGTTATCCTTTCAGTCAAAAACAAATCAAGTGACACTTTTCAACAGTTAAGAGCTCCCAGATCCAGCCTACATAAAACAGGATTGACTGGCTGTGACTGTATCGTGATACATCTATGCTTTGAATGTAGGTGATTGACAAGCCCGAGTTGTGCTTACCACTTGCATGTTTTGCCTGTTGACTGAATTTGACTAGCCAAAGTGCTTGCTCGAAATATGATCCGACTGTCGGTGACTAGCCTGTGTAGAAGGCATGGCAGGGAAGGAGGATTGATTTTTTGAATGTCTGTGACAGTTCAGATAGCCGGAGGGTTTGTTGTATGACATTATATCTCGTAATGTGGAAAATAAAGTAAAGTAAGTAAAGTTGCTCAAATTGAGAGAGTTATCATTCACAACTCACCAGTTAGCTTTCCATAACTTCACTGTGTCCGCGGCGGTCAAATGCGAATAATTAACAGTAAGAAGACGAAATTTTAAAGTGTTATTTCCCTCTTTTGTTCCTCCACTAGTACATTGCGGCCCCTCAAATACACAAGGCAACTAAACTTTCTCAAAGCGCGTGAACATACCTGGAAGCCACGTGCTTGAAGATTTTTCCCCCTCAAACCGCGTCAGATGAACGTGACCACGGTTGTGCACGCGCCATTTTTACTGCATACTACACAAAAGTTGTCGTTCATGCATGGCCGGCACGCGCAAAAAAGGTAACTCGACGCGTGCTGATGTAAAAGTTGGCATACTCCAATCAGTCACCAGCGCGTATGTATGTGATCACCTACCGGCGCACTTTGCGAGTTCTCAGCCAATAAAATTACGTTGCATACAGCAAAAATTGTCGCGTGCGCGTACGAATGGGGCGTTTCCAAAAAAGTTCCCTCAGCACGTGACTAAGGGGGGCTACCAGCAGGAGGCAAGGTTGCATGTGCACGGTACGGATACGCACGCTTGGCACATTATGCATTGTCGATGTCACGCCCCAACTATCGCATCGGTCCCAACTATAGTTGGGCCTGTCCCAACTGTAGTTCCACAGTTGGGCTGGCCCAACTATAGTTGGGCCAGCCCAACTATAGTTGGGACGGTCCCAACTGTAAGTTCCACTGTTGGGCTGGCCCATCTATAGTTGGGCCACTCCGATCTTTTTATTTTGCGGTGTCCCAACTATAGTTTACATTGATGTACAACTGTAAAACGTTCCCTACAGCTCTGATACACGTCTGACTTTACTGGGGACCACTGAAATTAGTTATTGATGGGGCGAATCTATAGTTGGGCCACTCCAATCTTTTTATTTTGCGGTCCCAACTATAGTGTACATTGTTGTATGATTATAAAACATTCCCTACAACTCTAATACACATCTGACTTTACTTGGGACCAATGAAATTATCTATGGGTGGGGACCGTCTGTAGTTGGGCCACCGCAATATTTTTATTTGGCGGTCCCAACTATAGTTTACATTGATGTACGACGACTATAAAACATTCCCTACAGCTCTGATACTGTCCGACTTTACTTGGGACCTTTGACATTAGCTATGGGTGGGGCCCATCTATAGTTGGCCGGCCATGGCAATCTTTGAATTTTGCAAAATGTTGCTGGACAATCAACCCAGCAGCTGGACAACTCATCCAACTAGGCAGTACCACGTGACCGGCCAGCCTTGCGGCATGCATGCACGACGAATACACGGTGCCAGTGCCGCGGAACATTTAATCCAACAAGATCTATCAAGCATGAAGCATCCGGCGCAACTCCAGTCCTAACTATAGTTGGGCCGACCCAACTGCCGCACTATAGTTGGGACAGTCCCAACTATAGTTGGGACCGATGCGATAGTTGGGGCGTGACATCTGTCAACAAGAAGATGAGCAAAAGCTCCGTGGCAACAAGAATGAAGAGGAATTTGGCGGGGGGGGGGGGGGGGGGGAAGAAAAACGGCAGAAGCATGAAATGTGAAGACATAGAGAATGATATGGATTCACAGCAAGTGGTTTATTATATAATAATTGTCATGTAATATGATAATAGAAATGAGATGTTACATGTACAGCTGGGGGACCAATTTTACAGAGCGGCTGAGCATAAGCAGGCAAACATGGCAAGCAGAAATACTCAGTTTGCTTGGTGGAACAGCAAGTAAGTAGTCAGTCAGATATTGTAAAAGTTGATTGTTAAAAAAAAATTAGACCAAAGAAACAATACAGCTAGCCATTTTAAGGCTATAAGCTTTTCATTTTTACAAAGGAAAACCAAAGCCCATGAGCCAAGCACAGTGTCTTCCATTGATTTTGGTACGTAAAAGGTAAAAACAGTCTTAAAGATTTCATACTTTGTAGCAGCTCTGTAAAATAAGTCCCCCATAATTAGTTTGCTACGAAGATGGCTGCACATACATCACTACAAAAATGTTCTGCACTTGGTGCGTTATTATGCAACATTAACACAAATAACTTAATTACCAGAAAAAAATTAACGCACGGTTTAAAATATATAAATATAACACTTAGCTATGTGATGCAAAACAATCTTCATAAATACTTTTTTTTTGTTTATATATTTTTAAAGCAGTGAAAACAGCAAGAGTAGATGAGGTGGGCGGAGCTTATGGAATGCTTGCTAATTTGCATACAAGAATCTGCAGATATGACCAGAAACAACTGGGATGAAAAATGAATCAATGCATGTGCATGTTGGACATATATTCAGCCTAGCAAATTTGGAGAAAAAAAGGTACGTTGGACTTTGTATTCTTTGGAAACTTGCTTCAGTATCCCGACGAAACAATAGTCAAATAAAAAACAGTGAATATCATTGCAGGGCATCGTGCGATTAAAAGAAAAGCAACATTCAGGTGTAAAGAGTGCGTCAGCAGAGGAAAAAGGAATTCATTTAAAGAGGAAGACTTTGATAAAATCAACACAAGTAATGGGGATGTGAACTTGTGGTTTTCAAATTCATTATTAACTGAACTGAAGCCAAAAACATTTCCTTTACACATCACATTTGACTTCTAGTTTCAATATAATTTAGGGGTTCACATCCACATTGCCACGCATACCAAAGGTACAGGGTTTAAAGTTTCAGAAGACAAAGTTTAGTTAGTGGCGAACCCTGAGCCTCTGGACTGCAAGTTCAGAGTTCTTAGCAAAAGGCCTTTTCCCAAGCAATCTTGGAAAAATTGTTTCGGAAATTTGTTTATGACTGTTAAATTCTAGTACAAGCCTTTAAACCACCGATTGGTAAAGGGGTTAAGAGTTCTCGTTTATACAAAATATTTTTTGTATGGAAAATGCTTGCCTTTTAAAATGGCACCTGTGTCATACCTGTGAACAAATAGAATCATACATATTACATTTTTTGTCAGGCACCAACTTAATCCAACTGGTACCACATTAGCCAGTTCTCTGTCTACCAAGTGTTTCAAGCATTCTCCATACAAAAATGCTTTGATAACAACAATTAGTTGTCCCACACCATCACTATAGATTAAACAGTTCATATATTTCTTCTTGGAATTTATCCAAACTTTTTATTTATAATCTTGTTAGAAGCTTAAAGAATTATAATTTTAAAATTCATGTACATTGCTGTAAATGCGACAATTTATACTGTAAAACCCATCCGACGCTTCTGGAACGTATTATTTACTGTACAGTCAGACTTTCAAAAGAGAAATTCATCTTGACATATCTTCATACATGTTAATTTGATTAATTTACCGTTCAACATTTGTTCTATACAGTTTTCCCCTAAAATTTAGCATTGTGGCCCTGTATAATACTTACCAAAAATAAAAAAATAATATCTACATGTTTTTAGGCCTTCTTATTTAGGAATTACGATATACGGTACAGTCTCAAGGTTCAGTTGATATTTGTGATGCGATCAAGCTAAATGAGTCATTTGTCAGGAACTTTCATTTGGGGATTCAGGCCAAAATAGGGCCACTTCATCACATCACTTCATCACATCTCTTGGTGTTCCGACCTCCATAATTTTTTAACTAAAGATGGTATCAGCGTGCGGTTTTCTTATCAGTAATGCTGAGATTGTGCTCTTTTCCAAAACTGTGAACAAAATTTACCAGGGTCGATAAACGACTCATTCAGCTTAATCGCATCACCTTTGTTCATTACATACACATGTAGTTATATATTTTATATGGGCATTCCTACATCTTTACTGATTCAAGGAAAGTAAAATTAAGTACATGTTTTAGCGATAAATGATAAAAAAAACAATAATTTTTTTTTTAGAAAACTGCACATGATGTGACAGATTCCAATAGGATGCCACAGTACTAACAAATTTAAAGTTCATTGTTTACATGTACTTTGCAGATCAGCAATGGCAACATTAGTATTGTCCTCACTGTTAGAATTTCGTAATTTCAATGGAGGGGGGTGTTCATTGATCTGATTGGAAGTTGTTCAAGTGAAGAGGTTTTAATATCCTACTCCTAGTATTTAACACTTACAACCGTCACAGTTTGATTAGTCTATATCACAGTGTTACTGTGTGGACTTATCAGAACACTGACGGGTACTTTTTATAAAAGGTTGATTTTGGAGTTTAAGATCAATTAAAAAGATCTTATAGAACAGGAATCAACCATTTTTAATAACACTGGCGTTCAGGCATCTAAGGATAAGCATTTGAATAAATCAGCAAAATTAAGAGCCAACTGCGTTTGAAACAATCAACAACACTAAATAGAAGACAAGTTGTTTTCTTTTTAGGATCTTGTGACAGCCAGGGAAAAACTCTGTAGAAATTTACAATAAAAAGGCTCCATGAAGTTCTTAGACTGACACGGTCCAATCTGTGCAGTAGATCCAAATTTGAGATGTAAATATAGCAATGAAACTTCAGTTCAGACAAAGCCGAAAACTATTCTCAACTGGAAAAAAAACATTAGTAACATATGCAAAAGACTTATAAATATTTAAACACATACTATAATAAGTGTAACAAACATTACCTTCTAGTTCAATATAAATAACACAATGCAACTTTTGCAAAATAGACCCAACAGTAAGCATAACAATTTACAAAGTCTTAACTCTCTGTAAAGAGCTTTTCTCGTCTATCAATTTTTACAATTTGTTATTTTTTAACTTTATCTGTACAATACAAACAGTTATCCCAAAGTGGTTAAATAGTAACCGTCTGAAAATAAATGCACCCTTTTTTAAAAATTGCCACTTTTACCAAAACACAAACGAGGAAGTAACGCAGGGTATCTGAATATTTACTCAAATCACAAGAAAATGGCAAATTAAAATCCATTCATCAAGAATAATGACGCACTGGATTTCATGGACTTTAAATCTTAGCAGAATTTATACATTTGCAGAAGGAAAAAAATATGCACCATTTCTATGTGCTTCATAAAAAAGGAATCATGGTTTATTTTGTTGTCTTTACTTTTTTTAATACATCTATGTACACTTGGCACCAAAACTCAGTGCCTGTGTCGTCATGGTACCAAATGCTTTGGCGTTGTCCTGGCAACACAAAAATTTCAGTGCAGAATTCATTGAGGCTTTTATTTTTTTGTGTTGCGCAAGCTGCATAGTTTGCATAAAAACCAAAATGGTTCCATCAATAAATTTTGCTTGGAAAAAAAAGTATTTTTTTGCTTATGATACATTATATACAAAATTCAAAGATCCACCTATCGATGAAGTTACAATGAACAACACGGACCTAAACTCAAGTTGCAGCCGTGAAAATTGTATTCCCGAAATGACTCTTAAAAGACATCTGTACACTGAAAACAGATCCTTGGGCGGCCATACTGGTTTGCAAACTATTACAAAAAGGACAAACCGCAAGATGGATCACAATTTGTTCTCATTTGAAAATGTTAGCACCCTGAAAATCTAGAAACAAATGAGCCTTTGAATGTCTCTGTTGTTTCTTAAATTCAGAGGCTTTACAGGATTATTGACTCTTCAGCAGTGGAATTCTCTCTCTCTCAGAAAAAACACACCGAAATTCACAAACAGTGAATAGCCTGATATTTGCAGTCCAATAAAGTAGCAAGGCATGACCGTGCCAAGCCACCCAATCGGTGAATCACAACACAATAAATCTATGGTTTAACCTCTTGTTTCTGGTGCTCACACCAAAAAACACCATCAGCAAATGCCAACTGCCAGAACAAGTCTCCAACAGCATCCAAATGCTGTCCCAGTTCTGCTCGTCATCAATTGCCTTTTGCCATCTCTAATTTCCTTGTAGCACACAGTTTGCCATATTTTATCGTAATCCACAAAATGCAGTAAATTCCACCTTTATCTGGGAATGTCTTTTTTTTTTTTTTTTGAATCATTGCTTCTTGCAACAACTCTGTCACAGATGTTCCAAACACAGGAACCACTGAATAATTTTCAAAGCCAACTCTAGGAAGAACATTCTTGGAACCACTTTTTAACGCTCTACTCTCTGTGAAACTGATCGCCTTTCTGCTATTTAGCACAAAGATGCTTGTACAATATCCATGCCGTTATCCTTCATATCGTCTATTTAGGAACCCTTGCCTGGATCAGAAGGGATATCCAGGTTGACTCTTTATTACTCCATAGAGAAACAGGAATCACTTCAACCAGCAACCCTTCACTCCGCGATAGGGATGTTATCCCATACATCGTCTTCAAGATGATGTAGGTCCGTGGGAGTGCTGATGTCATTGAGGTCTAATAGATTCAGGGGGAAGGGGTCCTTCCCGAGAGTGGCCCCAAACGCCCCATCCATGTTGAATGTTGGCGGTGTGGCACTGACTGGCGTAAGTCCGGACGCAGAGCTAGGGATGACCAGGTCTAACCAGTTCAAATCATTGTCTGGGTTGGTGGAGCCTGAAGCCCCGACATCCTTCCCTGTATCCATGCTGGTCTCGCAAGCATCGATGGTGGTCATAGGGATGTCAAAGGGGGCTGATAGGGTCCGGCCTGTCCGCTCTCCCCTGGCCATCCCTCCCCCACCGCTGGTATCCCCCAAGTCCAGGGAGGATATGTTCAGATCTGTGGGGTCCACCTCCATGGGCAGGTCCGTGGACGGGTATGAGTGTGTCATGGGAGGAGGAGGGGAGGGTCCTGGGACAGGGAGTTTCAGATCAATCGAGCCTCCGCGGCCACGCACGACAGAGTGGGTGATTGTTGTCAGGCCTCCTGTTGAGTTGTGAAGTGTTCGTTGCATGTCCCGGAACTTTGGTGTGATTGGGATTTGATCTGAAAATTCATTTAAACAAAAATGAAAAGATACCATTAAATATATATCATAGCAAATTCAGACCTTTTACTTCAAAAGAAATGGGCCCAATAATGTTCCACTGCTCACAATTTTGAATTCAATGTTTCACCTTTTATTTTTACTGATCATATTAGGTGGGTGTTAACCAATTCTGGATATATTTTGTCCCGTGCAAAAGATGATCGGTTTCTATTTTACCACTTTTCCCCCTTTCGGGAGTTTGCCGAATATCGGATTACAAGACATTAGGCTGTCGGCACTAAGGAAATCATCTCATCAAGGATACACAACTTAGTCATTAGTAAACTCACAACAGAAAAAAAATCACTGTTATATCTGTTTAACTGGTCAATTTCTACCAAGTAGACTCACATCCATGATCCACAAGAACCTCCAGTAAGTCATCCAGATCTTGACATTTGGTGCTCCGTGGGTCGCTGTTAGCAATGTTCCCTTTCGGCGGTGATCCCACAGGAGAACCATTCACGGGGGTGTTGCCTTGGCTCTGAAGAAGAAAAAAAGAAGGAAACAATTTTTGTTTAAATGCTACACTTTCAATCCAAGTCCAAAATGTAACATGCTGGAGAAAAAAAACAACTTGGCAATTTTATCAGCAACCATAAATTAGTAACGCACAACAGGTATGGGGTAACTAGTTATGGATAACTAGTTAGGGATATCTAGTAACAGGTAACTAGTTAGGGATATCTTGAAAGGGGTTTTGGCATGCAACCTCAAAGAATTGTAAAGCCTTAACTTCACATGTGGTATGAAAACATTGCAATTATCTGAACACTTGAAAAGTAAAGGCTGAAATGCAGTATTGGAAATAAGTAAGAAGTCTTATTATAAAATATTTTTAAGTCTTTAAGAAAGGTAACATCACTCTCAGAGATAAACTCTTTTTTGACTTCAAACCAGAAAAAAATCCATCTCAAAGAATTGCATACCTTCCTCTCTTTTACCTGCCGGACAGCTTCTTCATAGTTTGGAGGCGGGTTGGCAAATGTGGGTTGAGTGACGGACCGTGTCATGCCAGAACCAATGCCAAGGACATTCCTCTCTGTGGGGCTGCTGGGTAATGAAGCAGCTTTCGACGCTACCATGCCGTTGGGTAGAGCAATGGACTGGGTGTCGGGGCTTTGCTGCTTGCTGAAGAGAAACGGTTGGCCGTTGGGTGGCGGTGTGGCAAAGGAGAAGACCTTGGGCTGTTGGTTCAGCGTGTGGGCGAAATCTTTGCTGTGGAACATGAAGGCGCTGGGTTTACCTTCCGGTTGCAACTGCTGCGGGGATAGAGTAGTTGTCTTTCCAGCAGGCGACTGTTGCTGCTGCTGGTGTTGCTGGGTGCTGGATTGAGAGAGAGACAGGGGCGACAGATTAGGCTGCTGAAGCTGCTGCATTTGGAGCTGCATCTGGGAGAGCTGCAGCATTCGTTCCAGCTCCTGGATCTTAAGTTGCTGCTGGAGAAGTAGGTCATTGCTGATCTGGCTGCCGGCAGTGTTGGTGTCCAGGGACGAGACGTCCATCATGTCCTGGGTGGTGTTGTCACTGTTGAGGATGTCTACTGGCAGGATGCTGGAAGCTGGAGGGAGTGGTTGGGGGGATTCTAGCGTAGGCATGGTCTGGTCAAAGGGGCTACCTTCCCGTCCGGACCCACTCATAGTCTGCTGATTGGTGGTACTGACGGTGTCAGGGCTACACACAGGTGTAGTCAGCACGTTTTGGAATGTGGGGGGCGACATGGGATCAAATGCGCTCCCAGGTGACATGGGCTCTGATGTTACAGAAAATGAAGAGCGATACTCGGGAGATACTGGAGGTGTGCTCAGTGAACCCTGCACAGTGCTAGCAGTTTCGCTAAAGGGCACATCTAGGTCTGTGGAACTTGAGACTCTAGTACTCGATGTAACAGTTGTGGTGCTGACCTCATTCGGTGAGGTCGCTGACGTGGTGACCTGTTGTTCTACGTGCGGCCGCAAGCGTTCAACCAACTGGGGTTTGGTGCCTGATACATGAAGTCCGCGGTTTTTCAGCTCAAGTTTTAGTTCAGAGACTTTCATGTCCTCCAGGTTGGACAGACCGCGAGGTTTCCCTTGCAAAGCGGCGATGTTGGGTTTGACATCGGGCTGCTGCTTGACAGCCACAGGCACTGGTGGGGTTACTGGAGCTGTTGGCACAGCAGCACCAGCAGCAGCAGTTGTCGTCGCTGTTGGGTTGGAAGTAGTGTGCGTGGAGGTGACTGAAGTATTGGATGATGAGGCACTGGCGGTGTTCTGTTTCTGGTTGGCTGTGTTGGGCAGAATCAGCTGCTGCTGCTGCAGCAGCTGCAGCTGCAGGTACAACTGCTGCTGCATGAGTAGTAGATTGTAGGGATTGCTGACTGTGCTGGCCTGCTGGGGCTTACTGGACTGCTCGTTGGGTGGTTTGTACTCATGGAATTTGATCTCTTTCGGCTTGGGCCGCTTAGTCTGTTTCTTGCGGGGTTGCCTAGGGGAGGGGGTTACCTTCCCAGAGGACAGGGTTATGTTTGACACTGCAGATATCGGCGTGAAACTGTTGCTGGTGATTGGAGGAGGGCTGATGAGTCCTGGCTCCTGTTTGATCGTGACAAACGTCTGCCCGGCCTTGGGTGAGAGCAACTGTGAGGGACTGCTAACACTGGACCGCTGCTGCTGCTGTTTTTGCTGCTGCTGTAACTGTTGCTGCTGTTGTTGCAGGGTTTTGGAGTGGTCTGCAAAGGCGCTGGAACTTTGCGCAGATGGTAGGCTCCCTCTGCTGAGTTGTGATTCGGCCTGACTGACGTCAGACTGTGAGGGCGACAGAGCCTCGTCACTGAAGCCTTCTTGGCTGTCTTCGTCAAACTCATAAGGACCAATGTCAAGGCTGTTTGTCTTTAAAAACTTCACCTTGCCATCTGAAAAACAAGAATAGATGACATTGTAACAGCAATGTTTGCATTTCATTTATTTGAATGAACTAATCCCTAAACCCCGAAGGATTCTTTGAGGGTCAAGTACCAAATACTACAGAATACTACTTGTGTTGTGCACTCTAGTGTTGAAGAAAGATACTACAGGTTACTGCTCAGTAGTATTTTGTAGCCTTACAGGCGGTTAGGGTTAATCATTGCCATCTTATTTACGTGTGCAATCTGCACCCACAGCACCTGAGTATCAGAGTCTGTTGTGCGTGCCAAAATGTTCCAACATTTTAATGATTGTCATCTTCCCAATACACTGATATCAAGTTGGCATCAATACCCTCCTATTTTAATGCCTTATCTCAAACAGGATAATGACGGCTAACCTTGAACCAAGCTCGAGATGAAGTGAAGGTTTGGAAAAAACCTTGACTGCTCTGTCTGAATGGCGCCCTCTAGTGTCCTACCTTTGACAGCCTGTTCCACTAGCATATTCTCCGTCTTCAGGATATTGCCCTCAATCAGCTCCAAGGGGCCGGGCCGGTTCTTGATCTTACTGTCCAGGTCTTGCTCTAGACGGGAGCGTTTGAGTCGCTGTTGCGTGGCATTGACCAGCGGGTCCACATGGGTGTCTGAAACATCAAAACAAGACATACAAATGTAAGAACAGCAGCAAACCCAGATGCAAATTTTTACACTCCAAGAGGAGTGTGACACATCTAAGATTCATCGTTAGAAGGAGATGACTGACTGGCCTTTGCAAATTCAGGGGAGGGAGGGGATTGGACTACATTTCATCAATTTCAAAAACAGTTATCACTTATTCTCTGGTTTAATCATTAAAAAGTATTAAGTTAACAATCAAACACTTTTTTCTGGAGGGGGAGGTAGCAGATAAACCTCATTGGGTACTCTGATCCATTTGAGTTCCCACAAACTCATGATGATGCGTTAAGAATTTCACGAATTTAACATCTTCAAATGTGACTCAGTTATGTTCAATGTGACCTCATATACTAAAAATTCTTCATTAACACCGGGGGGCTCATCACGGCTGCCCAGTGCCAAGAATTCCAACAGGACAGTTTTGATTAAAGAAATCAGGGGCACCATCTCAAGATTAATTGAAACGCTTCCACTCTTTGTAAGGCAACTTCCTGCCCGGAATAGCAATTCTAATTACAGTGCCGTCCTGTCCACGTGGTTCTGGTGACACAATGAAGTAATTGGTAATTAGGGAGGTGCTTGATTAAGATAATTAACAGAATTCCTGTCATAAATTACTGGCAAGAGGGGGTGATACAAATGAGGGATTAAGTAATTTTGTGAAGAAATTGCTCGAGTCCTTTGTATCAATGTAGGTTGTACAACATGTGCTTATCTAAAATGTTATCAAGATTCTGTATGAGATAGAGTTGTCTTGGGTGCGAGCTCATAGCTGTGATTTCTAGTTGATTATGTAAATATTGGAATGAGTTTCCGGACTTTCATTGCATAATGGAAAATACCAATCTAATCAGGTGTCGCAGTGATGCAATGCAAGGAATCTTCATATCTTGCTTCTAAAGGGGGACTTTGAGTTTTTAAGCATCAATGTACACAAGAGGCAAATCAGGGATGTTTTTAAAGATGGGAAGGGTTTTGGCCAACTCGTTAAACTCACAGTGACCAAACACGTAATGAACCAAGATTTGCAATACTGCATCAGTTGAGGAGGAACAAATTGGATATCTTTCAGTTATTGTTGGTAATTAACACTGGCACGACCAAAGGTATGTGTCGGATGGAAGTCATGTGGTTAATCGTCACTCCTAAATCCATTATCATCGGCCAACTTCAAGAAAATCACTAACTTTTGAGAAATGAGAAGTCACACCATTATTCCTGTAACCCCCCTCCCCCCCCCCAAAAAAATTATGAACAGATAAAAATGGTACAAAGCTAACACAGATGGCTGTCAAAAGATTTGTCATCTGCCATGGTCATCTGTTAGAGCGTTCCACATCTGCCCACGTAAATCTGCAAGCAGAGCGTGGACGGAATCCGGTCATGGATGAGCTGACTGGGGCAAACAGCGAGCACCATCAGAACAATGAAACGTTTGAGATGAGCCCTGGAGCTAAGTTAGTCTGCCTGTCCTTGGAGAACAAATCTAGCTGTTTACACGGTAGACTGGACATTTTGTCTATGGCAGGATTTTGAGAATATTTCCAGGCAATTTGTCTCTTCTATACATGTACTTCCTCTACAAACATTTGGAACATGTCTGTGAAATAAGTCTAAACGATGAGACATCTAAGTAATTCATCTTGACTTTGAGATGAAATATCTCTGCCCAAAAGCTGCAAAGTTTGTTGTGGATTTCAGTATGGAGCTTATTAAACTCCAGCCGATGCATGGAGATGGCTTTCACGGTTTGTTTAGGTCAGGGCCATGAACAAGGCTGTCACAATTCAGTACTAACAACTCTTCCATTTCAAAGAATGATTCAGAATTTCATGCAAAAAAAACCCACAATTGAAACAAAATGAAAGCGTGAATCATAGTCAACCCACAGTTTTGGGAACACTTTGTACATTTGTATATCTTTCCTCAGCAAGTTGAAACTTTTTGGATCAACATTAATCACGAGTCCCCAAATGACTTCAAAAATTTCTCTCTCAAACCAATTTTTCCAAAAAGAAAAAAGTCAAAGACAAGGTTCCAGTCTGTTTCATTCTGTTCCCCACTCTAACTACCTACCTGCCAAGATGTGCTGATTGACAAGGTGTGACTTCTCAGGGCGAAGACGGATCTTTCTCTGCAAACTGTCCCCAACCTGCAAAAACAGAGAAAAAAATGACATTAGAATTGATGGGCTGGGTGACACACTCCTTTTAACGGTCCGATAATCAAGGGGGGGGGGGCACAGGCAGATATTCTTTGTGCTGAAAGCTAAAAACTGTCTATTGCATGATCCGATACCAACTCCTATGGTGGCTTAGGGTACCACAACGGGAACTGACCCAGTTTGATGGTATCAAGTTGAAAAAGAGCCATTGGTTTCAACTCGAGAATCTGCCACACAGCAGGCAAAAGCAGAGCCCAATTTCCCTGAGCTGCTGAGCTGAAACTATTGCTTTGCAACTTTATGGTGTAAGACGTGGACAGCAGACTGGAGTGTTTGGGATCAGAACCCCCGTCTCCAGTCCAGTCCTACCCCTAACATCTACACATGTTGCTGATCACTGGTGTGCATATTATCCCTCTCAAAACTTTCCCTGATACTTTTATCCCCAGATTGTAGGTTTTGTTTGTTGGATTTGAACAACGGCACTGCTGAGCAAGAGGCTTAACTACCGGGGGTAGATGATACATGCCCTGTGTAAGAATGGTGGCCTGTTTTCAATGCCAAATTTACTGAGGGGGTAACACTACTGACCTAGTCCACAATTACAAAAAATATGGGGAGGAAAAAGAAGGCATCTTGGATGTTGAGGCCCAATGGTTAGAAGTGTAAACTCAAAGGTCCTTTCAAAATTTGTTCAAAGTTGTGCATGTCCATGTGTGTTCTTGAGCAAGACACTTTACCACAATTGCCTCTCAATGCGCAATGATTATGTGAAAGAAGACTTGGGTATCATGTGTCATTAATATAATAACCGATATGTGTGTATAAGAGAATACTTTAAAGCAGTTGGATTCAGGAACATGAAAGCTATTAGTACACAATGCTTTAGAGTCAGAAATCATTCACAATAAGGTACCAGGACAGCAAAGTAGCTTATCAATTGTGAAGACCTCTTAAGTCTGAAGGGCAAAGACAGGGCCACCAATGGAGAACATACCCTGAGGAGTCCAAATTTGTTGTGATATGTTATCAGTGTTTACTTCCTCTCTGGCCCACCTCTACTCTCGAGATACTCTATCACTGAATTTTTTTTACACTGGGTTAGTCTTTATGAATGAGTTCAATTAATAGCTTGATAATTAACGAATGAGTTTACAACTGGCTTCACATCCATTTTGTAAAATCCACATGTTTGTAAAGATGGCTGATGGAATTAATACAAGGTCTATTTGGATCAAAGTAAAGCAAAAGGAGGATTTAAAAAATAAAAGTTTGATAAAATATGGTGACTGTACAAAACTTCAATTCTAACTAACCCTCTTCTTTTCTAATGATAAATGCATTTCAATTTTTGAAAGAAATGTGTATAAGGTCACAACAATTAACAAAAACAAAATATCAAGATGGTTGAGGTAGTGCCTTTCTGGTTTTTAAAACACAGTGAAATGTTAAGCTTCCTGTCTTCTGATCACAGGAATATTATTTTTAAAGACAGAAGAGAAAGAGAAGAGCAAGGAAAGTGTGACTGTATTTTTTAATTTTAGTGAAATATAATTGTTTCGATTGGAGTAATTACCCAAGACATGTTACTTGCATCACAGGACATTTAAGTAATGCTTCTGAATCAGTCCAGGATGGCAAAGTCATCCAGACTGAGGACAGCTGTTGGGTTTGATGGATCAGAGGGACTCTAGAATACTTCCAGAGTCTTATCCTGATCCGATGCTTGCAACAAAGCTCCTAGCTTTGGGAGGGGATTATTGAGCCAGGGATCGGGAGATGGGAGGTTGGGGGGGGGGGAGGGGGACACCAGATGCTCCACTGGTGCAGCAGAAGGAGCTCCCTCACCAATGATGACATCTGGGCTTAGTGGAATGCAATCCTGGAAAACTCGGGGATTCGTTGCTGGACTTTAAAATGTTCACAGCAGTTAATAAAGTTCTCAGGTAAGGATGTCAGATGTGACATTTCCACAGCAATCCTTAATGCGAGTAGGAGATGCCAGGCTGCGCACAAACCTTAAGGCACACCTTTTAGGTCCTGAGACTGAAGTTTAAAACTGTTTTACGTACTCTTTGGAGACATTAGTGTTTCTCTAGCCATTTTGAGGCCGATTTAAAAAAGCAACTAATCAGGAGGGGAAAAGGAAAATGAACAAACGATTGCAATTCAGTCGATATGTCAGGGAAAGGGTTGAATGATTATCTTCTGACCTTTGCTAGAAGAATATAAGGTTTTAAAATCAAAATCGTCATGAAGGTGTGACATGTACCGAACGCAAGCCCACGTAATCATGCATAACCCAATACCGTCATTACCAATATCCTATAAGCAAGTAAAAGTACACCTCCATTTGCCCCCAAAACATCTGTCTGAATGGATGGCGACCTCTGAGTAATTCAGACAATTGGATTTAGGAAATTAGCCTAGGATTTGGGCCGATGGGTTAAGTTCAATTTTCTTTTACGTAGCCATTTTGCCTGAGGCACAAATAACGTATTCGCAACCTCAAAATAGAGCGCAACCTGATACTGATAAGTCGGTACAGTGAAACCCTCTTTGTTTCTTAGTTTTTATTTTCCCGTAGTACAGTTGCACATGTCTTTGAAATTGTCAGGCGGTGATTCTGGCTGACAGGTACTATTTTGACATTTCCAGCACGTAGATGGTGTTTCAGGTGGATGATGTTTCAGTCCCCAGAGGTGGCCGCAAAGAGATTTCAGCATGAACTGTATAGGTGTGTGGTATAAAGCAGTTTAGCAGACTTGATGATTTTCTGCATTCTAGGCATAGGTACCCTTTTCCTGGGCAGGTAGCTGATGAGCCTGGGGGTTGGCCAACGACAATGGTGACATTCAAAATGAATCCCAAAAATGAAGTAGGAAGGATATCCATTTCCTAAAGGATTTAAAACAGATTTGGATTTTAGCGTCTCGTCTTAAAAAAGGGTTACCCCTCCAACAGCCCCTCTCCACACCCATCTCCCCCCAAAAGAAAATATCACAAAATAAGTGACATCTTGTAGTCATCTTGTCTTAAACTCATTAATAATAGTTTCATATGTACTTAACATTTCTTTTTGTACTGTTGGCGAAAACGTCGTTTACAAATCCTCTGATAGTTTTGCATCATTGACACAATCTGATTTTCAACCAATGAGACAGAAATCTCTCCCCTGGGTTTTAAATATCACTGCTTATCATCCATACGTTTATTTCCCTGACTTTACAGGCTGGAATTTGGTGAATGAGTAACCTTTGGAATGATAAAAGATGAGACTGGAAGAATCTGGCTGATGCAGGATGAGGAATTACATGAACAAGAAAAAGGGGAAACTGTCAGAGACGATTTTACTGCTTCCAAGTCTCAACACAATTTTAAAAAATCTTAACGGGAAGTGCTTACTACAAAGGACCAAGAAAACTCATACGTACAACAAATGTTCCGTGGCAGTAAGTCAGTGACCTGATATGATCACAAGAGGGCGATAGACTTACAGTCAGAATTCCGAGGTAAACTCTGCCCAAGGCACATGACATGTAATCTCATTATAGTAGGGATCACAACCTTGCCTATTCATGTATTTTCAGCTAATTTTTTTCTTCTATACTCAAATAGGCTGACTGGTTTTTCTTTTCTGGTATAATTGTCCGTGACTGCAGTGTTGGAATTCTGAGGGGAGTTGTGGAATGCTGCGCTCTTGGATATAGGGTAAGCCAGGTACTGTAGAGTCTTTTGATTTTTATGATTTTTATGGGGGGGGGAGGGGGTCGTCAAAAAGAAATTCTGATGATTGAACATTTCGTTGTGATATTGGAAAGACATGGGATAGGATGGCTAGTGTAGGGTTGGGGAATGTGGCCAATGCGATAAAAATGATGATTGTGATATTGGTTGTGGTGACAAAATGATAGTAAGATTTTGAAGATGCTAAGGATGTCTACAATGATGAATGAATCAAAGTGATGGTGCATGCGTTGCTCACAATAACGATCGTGATGATCGTAAGGCTGACATTGATGAGTCATGATAGTGAGGACTGTGACAATAATGTGGTGTGGTGTTAGTAATACATGAAATGACAACAGCAGTGATGCTGGAAAATGACGAAACACAGAACATTGTGAGGAAAGGAAAACGATGACTTTCAGATGGGATACATCTTTGGCAAATCTCATCACAGGCAAGAAGTGAATCGTGAATGGTGAAAAAAGGGAGAGTGCACAGCCCTTCGATCTGAAAAAAAAAGCCACTCAACAAGTTGTTCAACACTGGCAATGACCATCCCTTCCTAATTTGTTCCTTTGCGGACGCCTGCGTTGCAGTAAAAGTGAAACGAAAGTAACAATGAAACGAAACCCTGCAGCACGCAGCAGCTTCAGTGCTGCAACTCCTCAAGCGTCCTCTGACACGAAGCAGCCAATCTTAACACGAAAACTGACCTCTTAAAAAAGCCGAAAAGGACCACTGCAAAGTTCAAAAGCACCACCATAAACCAAGACTCCAAGACCAATGTCCAGTGCTGTGCTGTCCACTGTGCGAGCCTGGCTCCTGTCAAGTCGAGCCCCTGTCCTATTAAACCTAAGGGGGGTACAAGCCGACCCTCTAAATCAACTTGGAGCACAAGGCACAAGTACAGTCTATGATCCGAAACACACTCTTTGCTTGTAGTTGTTACACTTGTGTTGAAAGACATGCACATGCCTGTGTTACTTGTAGATGCAACTACTGGAAAAATATAATTGAATTCTATGCATTGGACGTAAATATTTCAGTAATCTTATTCATCCACTGTGACATTTTGTACAGTAAAAAAAAAACTTAAAATACCTGAAACCTTAAGAAAATATTTTGATTAGGATTTTTTTGTTGGAAAGGGCAATTAGAGCTATGCAGGATGAATTAAAGTGTGATTCAGTTGGTTGGTATTCTTCATCACCGAGTATTATACTGAATAACAGGGTCATTTAGAATATAAATCTAGTGTCCATAAATGATTTAACAAAAGTGGTATTTTTAAGAAACATTTCCAGGAACGTAAATCCCAATATAGTAACAGCTCACAAAACTGTACACAAAATTCTTCAGCAGAACTTGGGGATGGAGATAGTGAAACAGTTTCAGTAAATTCAACTGTCAGATGGTTTGTACTATTTTCCAAAATTCCTGGCTTGGAAATCTTGGAATGTTGCAAAAAAATTCCGCCCAAAGCCCACAGCCTAAGGAGAAAACATGTCGGACATTTTCTTATTCTGGTCTCCCACAAAATTGCTGAAACTATTCGTGAATGTGGGTGCCATCTGGAAAGGAACGCCTGCTTCTCCCTGAGAGCGGAATTTCACCAATACATTTGGGGGACATCCCGCTCAAATATTTTATTATGTTTTTTTTCAAGGCCTCTTTTGATCACGTTCTGGAGAAAGACATCCAAGGTCATGATTTTTTTAATACTTCCTTTTCACTCAATTATTTAAAATTCTAAATGTCCTTATCAAGTTGGAATATCAAAAAGTTATCATTTTAAGGTACTTTCTAAAAACTAAAACTAAAAATGAAAGTTCACATTCAAGAAATAATACATCAAAGTCATTGCCACAGTTAAAATAATGACTTGTGTTTAAGACTGCCGCGATGTGAGCGACGCGGTAGAGCAGTAAAGATGCTGGCATACTTGCTAACTGAAGGTCTGAGCTTCCAATCCAACCACCATTACTTTTGTTTCGCTTTAAGAGATGTCAAGAAATCAATTGATTGCAAACAACAGATGAGAATGAACTTGACCCTACTTGAGTATTCTGAACAACAAGAAAATTTAGATATACATGTAAACAAAATGTGCAAATTGCCTGTAAACACTAGATCCAATCCAATCATTTTCCAGCCAATTCTGAACCAATCACAAACTGATTCCCCCGGGGAAAGCCCACCCATGCAGACAGCCAGTCCGATCAAAACACAAATTTGCAGGATTATTTTCCAAGGTGCAAATTTTACGTCTGGCGATCAGCTCTGGTGTTTTCCCCTGGTTGAGTTTTTTTTTCTCTTTTCCAGAAGTTGCTCGGTGCACCCTACACTAACAAATTACAACAGCTATGAAAATATTGGGCTTAGGCCTTAGAAGTCTGGTAACCTGGGGGCATGAAATCAGGGGTAAGTGGTTTATAATTGGTGTGTGGGGCTTGGTAATCCATGGTTTAACGCCTCTGTAATATTATCATCATTGTCACCCATTGGAGCGTAGTGTCAGGTAGGTAGGGGAATGCAAACTTCTTCTAAGGTTTTGGTGATTTTCTCGGGTATGTTATACCCTTGGGATGAGGAAACTAAAGGGATGCTTTGATTCTTTTTGTAGGACAAAAGGAATATGAAAGTGAAAATGGGTGGTTAAGAGATAAAGATCAGATGGTAGTACACGGTTGACTAGCCAGGGAAACAAGCAAACCTTGAAAAAACCGAAGCAAAGGGTAGGAAGAGTTTTGATTCCCCCTTGGCTCAGGATGTTTTGGGTTGGTGTTCATGTATGCCAGAGGGAATGCTGCGATTTCTGGACAGGAAAGGGAATAAACAAGAACAGAAAGCTGTAACACCCATGTCCTTGCTAGAAGATAAAACCCGTGAAAAAGTAACATTAGTTCAACACGTAAACAGGGGTTATTCTTGGAAGATGATGGTTTGGTTTCCCCCATGGGAAGACGGAACATTGGGAATACAAAAAGAAGACTACGGGAGGCAAGGAAGTGCATCTTGAGAGATAAAGCACTGATGCAGATGTCAACTGTGTCTCCAGAACAAAATTGACGCTGAGGGGGTAATTGTAACCCCTGGGGGAGGGGAAGTTGTAAAGCCCCTCAAAAGGTTTGAGAGGATGTTTCTGTGTTTGGACAGGTATCAAAAACAAAGGAGTGGAATGAATTCAGTTGTTGTAAACTTTGAGAAGTAGTCACGAAATGCAGGACACCCAAGTTCTGTTGGTGAAATAAAATACTTTGGAGTGGCTGTTAAATTATAATTTTTTGCCTTTACAAAAAAAAGCCTTTATTTTGACTTTTTTTCTTTTCTACATAATTTCTACAGGCATCAATGAAAACATGTGATGTACGGTATCATGTAGTACGTATGTAACTTCATACTTTTTATGGGTGGAGCAAATTTTGAAAAAGAGGGGGTGGAGGAATTAGACAAAAATGTCCAGTCTAATTTTATTTTCCTTTTTTGTTTGTTTCCCAAGTTGGTTGTTCTTTCCTCAACTTTGGACAGAAGTCTCCAATTTGTCGGCAAATCCCCTAGCCGGGACTGTAACCAACGTGTTGACATTTATCATCACTCGCTGTACGTGTGCGTCACGCCACTTCTAGTGTTTCCTCCTCTGTCTACGAGGAGGAGAAACAAAATCCCGCACATTGTGTCCAGCGTCACGAAATAATCCGGTCAACAGCATGAAGTAATATGGTCGGTGATTGTGATGATATACAGTTGTACACAGGGGCATTTGATATCTGGTTAAAGGCAGCGCTGTAGTCGAGTCTAGACACAAGTCCACAAACACAGGTGTACAAGTCAGTTCACAAGTCTCGTCAGAAAGATCTCAAGTCTATTCACAAGTCCAGGCACAAGTAACAGGGGATGAACAACAATAAAGGAAAGCCTTTGCCACAGTTCATAGCTTGTGACTTGAATTGGGACTAGACGGCTTGTGATGGACTTTGGAACTTGTGATGGGCATGACCACAATATACTGTCTAATGAAATGGTAATGTCACCCACTGGGTACACTTCACAATCACCTGAGTATTACTATTAGCAAAACTATTAGCAATCTCTTAGAGAAGGGGTTTGCCCCGGTGTTTCTGGCCTCCTATTTAATAAACTCCCACGCAGAGTATTTAGGAGAAGAACCAACAAAGAACCAAGAACAGTGTTCAAGGTTCGAATCACCGCTGCTCAACCCAAAGTGATGCATCATCAGGATATTCTATAAAGTTATTTGATGTCAAAAATGTTTCAGGAAGAAGTTTGTTGCTCAAGTTAACAACAGAACTGGGTTTGTAACTATCATTTAAGATCACTTTACTAATTCAATTATCCTGCAATGAAGACAACTTCATTAGAATCCTTTGTGTCCCAGCCACTACCAGGGTGGCATGGATGTGTTACCCTGTGTTTGTGGTTTGAGAGCAATCAACCATGCAAAGCCTGGTGTTATCACACAGCTCACTGAGCTGGAAGTGTGACAGAGAAGCTTAAATCACAAAGAAGGGCTACAATGTATGTATACATGAACATGATATAGACACCTCCAAAATGATTGTGTTGTCTGCCACTATTTCACAAATTGATGGGTAACTGGGCATATTTTTGGTACATCATCATACACCAGACTAAGCTGCAATTTTTAAGATAGGCTAACGACATTACAAGTAAGTGCAATGTTTAGACCAACAAGTTTTGGCGCATCAAGAGTGAAATCAAGGAGGAAAAGGGGGTTAGGAATCACCTTACAAACACTATACTGAACAGCACTGTTTCTGTTTCTATTTATATTGTAACTTGAAAATAAAATCTTGATGTTTGTAAAAAGAAATATGATGTGATCTATAGGAATTTGTAGGTTCATTATTGAGTCAAACCAAACTTGCAATTTTAAGCTGGGCTGAGAACATACATGTATAGCAAGCATGCAAGACCTTATTTCTCAACATCCCGCAACGACAAGTTTTGCTGCATTTTTGCGACGCTGCATCATGCCCAGGAATGTTAGACAAAGACATTGATGTCCATCATCAATGTTCACTCCATTTAACATCAATCTAGCATGACATACCGAGGGAGGGGGGGGGGGGGGAAGGCTGGGCTGAGCCTCCTCACGAAACGACCAATTCGGCAGGGAGAAATTGAGCTGAAGTCCAAACAGTTTAGTTTGGTTGTTGCAACGATGCATGGAGAATTTCACATATCGAGAAATGTCAAGATTTTTTTTTGAATGTATCAATTTCCAGTGGTATTTTACCAGAGTACATTACGGAAGACCAATACAAATTTTTCTATAACAGTAATGACAGCAAACTAAAATTTAACAGAGCTTCCTAAAAAGTTTAGTTTATGAAAATGCTATTTGAAAAAAAAATAACATACTATCTATTTTTGTAACGTCAAAGTTAAGAATTCCATATAAAAGCCACATTATTTGAAATAGAAATATAAAGCTATTTTGGGAGAAAGTACATGTCTACTTGTAGCTCAAGATGGATAGCCAACCGTAACAGTCGTCCGGATCTAATTATAGTCTGGTTTCTATTTTGAGTGCAGACAGTACAGTACGTGACAACACCACAGTCTAGCCACAGACTATACACACACTGGGCTATTTTTGAAAAGAAAAAATCTCTGACCGATGTGTAGAGAGAGAGCCTGGCTGCTATTTGTGGGGCATCGCGAGGAAAAAAAATTCAATCCGGATGTTTCCGGGTTACGTCAAGCTGCTCGCAGGCTGTACAGTTGCTGCTTCAATGGTTCATGCACACAGTGCTGTCTGAATGATCTTTTTAAAAAATTCAACAGCAACACTAAGACAGTGGCACATTATTTTAAGATGTTAAGGATGACAAGTTACCTTTGCTCTTTCTAGCCTTTGCCGCTGCTCATGGAATCCTGGCGAAGATTTTAAAGCTAAAAACAAAAAGAAAAGAGCAATCAAGTATTTTCCTTTTCAGAAAATGTGGACTAGGTTAAGGTCTGGTAGTGCCTAATTTTATTCAATATACGTTCATCTTCTTTTGCAGTTCTCATCATCTATTGAACAAGTGCACTTGCTCGTAATGATGCAAGTGACAAATTAAATATTCAAATGTGCTTATGATTATTCAATAGTATAAACCTTACAATGCACAACTTTCATGGGTATGCTTGAGCGGATGTCTTTTCACTTTCAGTGTTGCCTTACCACGCTGAATTATGACTCAGTAACCATGTGCAGAAGTGATTGGGTTTAGATAAACGCTCCACAGTTAGATCTATTTTTAACCGCGCTTGGACGATTGGCAAAACGCTTCACGGAGAAAACAAAGTCATGGTCTTTGTTACTAGGTTGATGAGGTTGCAGGCAGGTAACATGTATCGCTGTGCCACTTACATGGTCTGGCATTTTGCACTTGAACAGATATTCTGATGTCCATGCTGAGTCATGGTGCCAGACTCACTGCTTACGCCCAGAGAGATATTTTGATGTCATGATGAATGACCGCGGGGATTGAGCCCAAGGTCCAGCACTAGGGCCACTTGTAATTAAATTAAGAGCGTGAACATTTATGTAATTTCCAATATAATCTGGCCTTCCGCAGGCGCTCAAAACTTGTCTAATCAAACTACCCATGGTGTTCTACTCTACAGCTCAGCATAACCCCAACTCCGCGCACAATTCTGAAGAATGTGAGGGCATTCTGAAAGGGAGGAAGGAATATATTGATATTTCTGGTATTTGAGGAAACTTCTGGAAAACTATTTGGGGGAGGTTTATCGTTTGGTGGAGGATGAGACAAACAAAGATTCCTGGATGTTGTAAAAGAAAACATGAACATTGTTGCGGAGAAGAGTTATGCATTACAGGGGTCTATTTATAGCTGGTGACATCACCGGCGGTGGATTTCATTGGCTGCCTGTTTAGCGACAGAAGGGTCGCGGTTTGTTGAAGCATGCCGTAGCTATCTTGTCTGATGACGTCAAAGCAAGGCACAATCGATGCCTTACTACTATCTCTTGTTTCTTGTCTGACTGAAACATAAAAGCAAGGCACGAGAGAGAAGCAAGGGGGAAAAAAAAACGAAGATGAAAAAACTAGATGACAGCCGTGAGGCAATATCAACAGTCAGGCATCAGATGTTGAAGCCCTGGATTCTGGTATGCGTGGTATGTGCTACGTCAGACCGCGGGTCCGTGTTGTTGCAGACTTTACGAGCACGGAAGCAATAGCTACGCTAATATAATTTTCCTCCTGCACAGTCTATGGGTGCATAACGATGATGATAATAATATGCCCAGGCCCATATGTTGGCTGCTATATTTATCAGGCTTCACTGATGATAATACTCCGTAGATAAATATATGCACGGTTGTAATAATTTCCTGTGCTTGGCCTTGAGGCCGTGGGAGATAACGTCCGAAAAAAACTTCTAGAAACTTCACGTCATAGGATGCTGCTCTTCTGGATACTATAATTTATCTGCATTGGTGTGGTACTGGGTAGGGTTTGGAAGACGAAAATTAATGGTGACTACTTTTAACCACTTTGAATAAAAATTGCTATGGTGTTAAACTTGTCATTGCAAGGTACGTGTATCGTATACTATTCAGAAACGTCTTGGCCAATTTGGAATAAAAAACAAATAAATAATGGAGGACAAAAAGAACGCCATCTTACCAGTAAGTACATGGTACTTGTGGTGTTGAATACTTGAACACTGTCGCCAATATGGTTGGCGATGTTCAATTTTCTTTTTTTTTATTTCAAAAAATTGCATAATGAACTCATAAAATACTTACGAGGCATAATTCCTTGGCTGACAAGTTCTTCCCTGGGCCGTCTGAGCTTGAGTCGCAGGGCAAGTACTGTAGGACAAAAGAAGAAAAAACAGAACAGACAAATCAACAATTTGTTATCATGGAACCTGTAAAATCAATTTACGATTGATGACAATTAGAACAACGAAGGGTAACTGTCCGGTAATGTCCTTCTTTGCCGTCTGAGTGCAATGACCATAACAGTTCTTCGTGACCACTTCTTGTTAGAACCGATTCTTTTAGGAACTGCCTCAAGTCAGCTGAAACACTGTTGGTTGCTTACAGTTCCTGCAAATCTTTCTACCCTAAGGCTGTGTGTAATAAGGGGATTTTGTCAATGGCTATGGCTCTGCATAAAGCAAGTCAATGTCAAAAATGGAAAGTCATAGCCACAAAAATCCCTGAGATTTAAAGTACACTCGTTCTCTTTTATCCTGTCTGTGCACAAACTATTGGGGTTGCTGCAAGTATCGTTTCCCCTTCAGGACTTGTGGTGAAGACTCAAAGAACCATATGCTCCAGGTCATTGGCTGTCAGGCTAACCGCACAGCTGATACTGAAAAATGAACGTATTCAGATGCAAAAGCCTTGCTTGCCATCGTACTGCGATTACTAACATGTGGACTCGTTTCTCGAACAGAGGGCATCAACACATTGCTATATTCTTTACAATAATTATTCAGCTCTGCACATCATTTCCGAGACGACAATGCTTACCAAAACAGAAGCTCTTAGTTTACAAGAAGACGGTATCAAGTATGCGAAAGTCACCATGGGTCCAATGCACAGTAAAACACTCCAAGATCCAAACTTAAAAGACTTGGGAATAAAAGTTGGCAGCTGTGCAGACAATGGCTCTGCCAAGACCACCAGATGAAGACTGACAAAGAAAGTTGCCAAGACAATGGTTCCAAACCCAGCCCAGGGAAAACAAAACTCCAGACACACACACTGTCCTGAGATGGCACCAGGAATTTGACATTTGAGAAAGAAAGGTGAATTTCCAGCCCCACGCTGGGAGTATAACAACACTGACGGTGGAAAAACCGATATCTGTGTGAGAAATTTCGGCTGGAGGTTTGGTTGATATAATTTTTTTATTCTGTGGCATATAAGGTAAAACCGTGGGATAGGAGCTCATTATAAGTTGCACAGTGGGAACTTTAAACCAATAACGAGGGGAATAGGGAGATATTTATCAGGCTGGAATTTTTTTAGGGGGAATTCTGGGGAGTCTGAATTTGCTCAAAAACGTTTGTTTATTTTGCTTGTCTGGCTTTAAATACCCTGGATTTTATGAAGGGTAACTTTTTTTGCTCAAGTGGACCCTTTATACCGGTACATTTAGCATCTGCCACTAAACAGGCATCTCAAGTTTGACTACATGTGAGTTAAGAGCATTACATGTATGTAAAGCAGGATTGACTGGCTGTGACTGTTTATGTAACTTGATACAGCTATGCTTTGACTGTGGATGATTGATAAGCCAGCTGTGCCTACCACTCGTCTGCTTTTGTCTGTTGACTGAATTTGACTAGTTGCAGTGCTTGCTTCAAATATGATCTGACTGATGACTAGCCTGTGTAAAAGGCATGGCAGGGGACGAGGATTGATTTTTTTAAGACTGTTTGTGACTGTTCAGATACAATGTAGCAGGAGGGTTAAAAACCGTTTTGTTTTCATGTTCAATTCATCTGAGATTCTACACGTGTATACTTATTATGTACATATACCAACAAAGGCACTCATTGGCCGTGTCAGAATTAATTGGATACGACTTGTAAGTGCACATGCACCAATGGAAGCCACTGAGTACACTTTTCACTATGTTCATTAGTGCAAGCCATAAGCCAAGAAATATGGCCTGAACTGTCCAGGCACCTAGAGGTCAACACATTGGAGGGGGTCATTATTAGTTAACCTTTGACAAGAACTGTGCAACTTCCAAACAATCCAAAAGTATATACCAGAGATCAGCCAAGTTTGGAGGGAAAGGACTGAAAAGCTTGTTGTCTTTAAACAGGTGTGGTGTTAAGTAACGACTTGTAACCATGACAACTGTTATGACAACAAACTGCTAACCATGACAACAATGTAACTGTGTTATTATGGTCAGGGTCCAATCTCATGAATCTCTCAAGTGCAGAAAAGGTGGGTGTAAAGGAAATTGGTTAGAGCAGGATAGCTCAGATGGTACAGCGCAGGTACGGAGTTCTGCAGGTAACGGGTTCAAATGCCGCTCCAGTCAATTTCTTCGTTAAACCTTACATTTGTTTTAGCTAAGTAAGGAATAGACGACAAAAAGAAATTGTCTTGTCACAATACGCTTATATACATTGATGAGGACATCAGAGCAAACTAAAAATCTAAAGCAACTCCAAAAGCTATCAATCTTGTATTCTTCACGAAAGTGGTCTCATTATTGTGCTATTAGTTACCATCCCTGATAATATTTCCGGCATTTGCTGGCGATGATTTCCCCACCATCACTCCATTGACTGGCACACACTGACCTCCCGTGACAGATCAAATTAATCTGTGATGAATTCATCAGACTTCTATACGGGGTTCGTTACAGATGCGGAATCTGAAAATTAGTTTCGGTTATTTATCATGGTAGGCTGTAAAGTTCACGACACGTCGGAATGTATCAACTTAAATGATTAAAGATCGCGTAGACGGAAAAATCTCAATTCCCAAACACGAAACTAAAAAAATTCCTACGCTGGGATTGAAAAAAAAAAAATTATAGAGAATGATATAGACAGTTACTCCCATTGGTGGTTTTGGTATCTCTAAGAACATACTTTTCCCTGGGTGTTGCCAAAGACCCTGGGGGACAGTGTTATACAGCAGGTAATCCATAACGCCCTCACCTGCTTCCATCGTTTCTTACCTACGACAGAAATTTTTCAGACAACCGAATGCATTCCAACTGTTGCTGTTGCAAAAGAAAGAATGTACATTGTAAAGGAGTCCTTACCACAAACGCGTTGGAATCAATGCCCCAAGTTTGACTAAGTCCCTGTAGTAAAGGGAGGGCTTCTTTATGGGCCCGCTGAGAAAGATCTTTTGTTGGTTGGTTTGTCTCTGCTTCAGAATTTCTCTCTCGTTCTTTCTACCTTCTGCTGTGAGTTTTGACATTTTGTGACGTGGTCCTCCAGCTCCGCAAATTGGGTCTAATTCTAGCGAATGAGAAGCCCGGATCGTGTTGCAGGGGTGCGTAATGGGGCGTAGGATCGGGTGACGGGCACGAGCCGGGGCCACCCGATGGGAGGGGCTAGGGGGCCCCTAGCACCCCTGGAGGGGGTACAGTGTGTCGCAATGCATCTCAGGCCCAAGCCGTGGTCAGATAACAGCCAGTGCGGTTTACTTGGCATAACTCTTGACTAATCCTTTTAAATATTTTAAGCGGCACAATTAAATCATCTTTTGGATTTCAAGTTGTGATATTTCAAAAAGAGACTTTAGATAACGGGCTCCCTTAAACTGGAACTTTCAATTGAGAATGTAAATGTGACGACTTTCTAATTGAAATAAAATATGAATTTTGATGACTCTGCATTAAAACAGATGTATCTAGATGTTTCCCAGTAAAACCAAAAATTTGGTTAACTTTTGAGTATGAACCTGGGGCGCTCTAGTTTGTTATAATCTACATGGTAACTTTAATGGAATAACCTGATTCCAAATGCCACTATCTCTAACTATGCAGAAGAATGCACCAAGTAAACAACAAAATAAAACTGTCCAATTCACAAAACAGGTGAAGTAATATACCATTACAGTTTCCTCTCAGTACAAGGATTTACAAAATAAACTGTCCAGTAAAGAGTCAATTGCAAACCTGTGTTATTAAACTTCCATCTGTGCAGAAGTTGAAAGTCACTGTTTTTTCCTGATGGAAAAAATGGCCATAAATTCCTGGTTGTCTATCCTGGAATTTGGAGTAAATCCTGGAAACTAATGAACACCCGGAGGTCGTAAAGAACCAAAATGTGTTTTTTCTTGACCAAGGTTTATTCAACACCCACTCTGGGGAATTTGTATTATCTCATGGACTTGGAGCAAATTTGGGCTGGGATAATCGAATGAATTTGCCCATTATTTTGAGCATTTGTTCTTAATGGCTTCGTGTCAATGGCTGTTAGAGAGGACATGGCACTCATGGACGATTACTTGGGGGAAAAAAGCTTCCAAAACTTTAAAATATCTGGAAGAAAACAATATATTTGAAAAGTTTGAGGAAATTGGCTTCAGAATTTATTGCTGACAGCACTGAAAATCTTTTTGCATTGGGTCAAAGCCTTTACTTGGCAGGGGAATTTGGGCATCTATTTTCTGGCATATGGTTGTGAAACGGCCCAAAGCTAACTGCCCCTTAAGGCCAAAAATATCCAAATTTATTAGATTTTTGTTATCACAAATAAGATTAGGTTGACCTTTTTGCTAGGCACCAGGTCTGAAATTGAAACGAAGAGCCTGATTGGATGGAAAGTGACAGGTACAAGTCTTGAGAATTGCCGACCCCTCAAAAAGAGACGAAAAAAAAAAATTGGAGTGTGCCGGCCACAAGACCACAGCATGCCCGCATCTTGCTGGTTCAGCATATGCAAATGAGTGCGGTCAGGCTGTCCAATCAGAGGGGCCGACCGGGACTCAGCAGTGACATGCAAATGAGCAAGCCACCCATCAACAGGTCTTGCGTTGGCCAATCAGGACTGAGCGATACAATGGGTGTGATTTGTGTATACATCATCTTGAGGAATGCGAGCGCTGAACGGAGTTGGATAAATGGATGGACGGAACAGTTGTTGTATAAAGGCACCCAAGCAATTACCCCCCATCCCATAATAGTTAGCCCGGGCGATAACAAGCGGCACAATGCCTCTCCCCTGGTTATTGCAGCTGTCTGCCCGAGCCCAGGCCACGAGACCCAATGAAATCGGACACCAGTTATGATGATGCCATGGTGGTGATGTTGATGAGTGCCTAGTGGAAGGGCACCGGCTATAACAGAAGGGCACCGGCTATGTCATCATTTCAAT